CAATCCGCACACTCTTACCTCCTCTACCCGCACCTCCTACCCAAAGAAAGCACGACACCTAAGAGGATCAACTAAAAGAAGCAAGAAATGGGGGTAAGCAGGAGGAGGCTGCTGGTTTCAGACTTCATCATGTCCTTCATGTGGGTCTGGTCAAGTGTGCTTATTAAGATGTTTGTTCACACAATGTTGGGTTATGGGGCTCATGATCTCAAAGGTGAAATCCTCAAACATTCAATATCTGTCATCAATATGTTCTTCTTTGCCTTCTTGGCTAAAGCTACCAAGGGTGGGGCCTACAACCCTCTCACTATCTTGTCCGGTGCCATCTCTGGGGATCTCTCCAATTTCCTCTTCGCCGTCGGTGCCAGAATTCCTGCTCAGGTCTTTGGTTCAATTACTGGGGTTAGGCTCATCATTGCGTCATTTCCAAACATAGGGCGTGGACCTCGTTTGACCATCGACATCCACCGAGGTGCACTGATTGAAGGGTGCTTGACATTTGCGATTGTTACCATTTCACTTGGACTTTCCAGAAGAAGTCGTGCGAGTACCTTGATGAAGACGTGGATATCCAGTCTGTCCAAGCTGACTCTTCACATACTTGGTTCTGATCTAACAGGGGGGTGCATGAATCCAGCCTCTGTGATGGGGTGGGCTTATGCTCGGGGGGATCATATAACCAAGGAGCACATACAGGTTTATTGGCTTGCTCCAATACAGGCAACTTTGCTGGCTGTGTGGACTTTCAATTTGCTAGTTTCCCCACCAAAGGACGAAAAGGAGAAGATGAAAGAGAAAAAGTCAGAATGAAGGGGATTCCTAAATTATTGGTGATCGTACAGTTTGAATTTTGTATCATGTCTTTCTCCAGTGTGATTGCATGAACTTAATTTTCTGTTTTTAACTTAACATGTATAATGTTCAGTTAAGGATGTACGTTTTGTCTCTGTTGTAACCTCTCTCAAGAGCGATTGAGAATCTCGAGAACTTTTCCAAATGTCCGTCTTCGCAGGATGATTGGAAAAGAGATGAGTATTTAATTCTTATACTACCTTTCATTCCACTATTCGGATTGAAGTAATTGCTTTTCTAAACAACCAAGTCATAATGGGATTAAAAATGAATGCTTCCTTGGCGGTGTGAAACATGGATTAGCATTATGTCATTCCTACAAGTGATGATCCACCCNAAAAAAAAAATCACTGCTCAGATAAAGAATGAGAAATAAGAGATATAATAACAAGCACTACCAGCACTACCACATTTTCTTGAAATAATTTACAACAGTGCATCCTATTCTTGAATATATTAAACTTTGAAGCTAATACAATTCGAGAGTAAATTAATAAGAGATGGCATTTGTTATGAACCAACATCAACTGATGCTTGAGCCTACTATACTTCTATACACTTCAAAATCATGGGGAAATGACAAAAGAAGAAAAATTACAAACAACAAAAGAAGAAGAGAAGAAAAAGTTGAGTACAAAGATCATGGGGAGATGATGAAGGAGAAAAACTAAAAACAGAAAGAAGAGAAAAAATTAATAATAAACAAGTGCAAATATCTTTCTGTGTCAGCAGACTTTTGTTGGGTCCCTAAATCCGATGTTAAAATTATTAGGCAACCGTCTGTTGCCCAAATTTGCATTTCCTTTCTGCATCATCGCCACAAACTCTTTATAATCTATCCGACCATCCTGAAATGTAAGAACAGATAATTCAACAAGATGTAGTGATAAGAAAGAACGAAAAGCATCATTCTGAAAGACACAAACCAGTGGAAAAGATTCTAACTGTGTCGCTCTATACATTTTGATACTCTCGCGTACATGTTTAAGTATAGCTGCATATGCGTTTTGACCACTAAATATGTATCCTCAATATGGTTGTGTCAGACATGAGAGTTGCGTTGGCATCAATGTTATATAGCCTACCATTACTTTCATGCATTACTAAGTATATTTGGAATAGAGAAATGCCAGTACAACTACATACATTATCTTGATCAACTTCTAGAATGATTTCATCCAAGCGGACATCCTTTATGCCAAATTCCTCACAAGCCTTTTGAAGTTCATCTGCAGTAATATACCCACTCCCATCTTTGTCAAAATATGAAAAAGCAGCAGAAAGATAATCTTCTTTCTCAGCTTTGTTGATGTGAAGCATTGCAGCTATGAATTCCCCATAGTCAATGGTACCACTGTTGTCAACGTCCGCCTGCGTTTTTTGGGAGAAAATTTGAAGTTAGATAAAAAGAAAGAAATATAAAATTATCTAATGAAGAATGTCTTCACACAAACATAGCAGTTGCTTAGCACAAATTCTTAGACAAATAATATGGCTTAGCTGCTCATAACGAGAACATACTTTCTAGAGGACAAACAGGTCCACAGATATTAAACTTCTCAAGGCACAAAGGCTTCGTTTAGGTGACAAGCCAAAAGTGCTACTAATAAAGAGCATTATGTACTCAATAGCTCAACCAAATGCTGTAATCGCAACCTTTTCCAATCATGAGTTAGAATTCTTAGGTACTCCTAACAAATGGTGTGACAAAAGGTTGACTGCACGGTGGCATTTTGGATACTTTTATGTAACTAACAGGCGCTAGCAATTTCATAGAGTGGTACACTGCATGGTTGACATGATAACAACAAACTACGGCTAAACAAGCATAACCTGTTACACAATTGCAAAGGTACTAAAGAATTTTACTACTGATATATTTCGTTGAAATTAAATTTGGAAAGGAGTCGGAAAAGAATATCAACTGCAGATCAGTTCTTCTCTCCTGGTTGGTGATCTAAAGGTTGTCCGATGGAATTGATTTGATGGTACCTACTAGAAAGAACTAGATACTTGGTGGGTAAACACTTCCAATTACAAGAAAAAAAAATGCTCATTTTTCCTTTAAAGGCTTCTTTATACCACAGCTAGACAAAAATGCCTTAAAAGATAGGCAAACGTCATCCTTTCTCCAAACTTGACCTCATTTTAATAGTATTTGACTATGAGAGAGATACAAACAGTTGGTAAAAGGGTATTTGCAGTGAGTTCTCAAAGCCCATTTCTTAAGGATTCGACACTTCTGATTCCCATATTTACAATCCTCACATAGAGAGAAATAAAAGCAGATAGAGAAAGGATCTAATTTCAGCCTAATTTTGATGGTTTTCAAGGTTAGATGGAGACTTTGCCACTGAATTATTTAAACCCTGTGTGAGTAAAGTAAATGATTCCTTGATTGGCCGCATGACATTTAATACTGAATAGTTATGGAAGACTAGAAGTCCAAAACCTACCGCCTTCATCAAGTCTTGTATCTCAGTCTCACTAAGATCAGCCCCAAATTGCTTTAGTCCAATCTTCAGTTCATCTAAAGTAATATGTCCACTGTTATCTGTGTCAATCATTTTGAACATCTCTTTCAAGCCTGCAATTTCCTCTTCAGAAAGACTCTCAGCAATAACCTGTATGATACAAATAGATTTTTGTCATTGGAAGAAACAAGACACCTTTTGATTCTTGAACTAGATTAACTTTTCATGCGTGTGTTGGGAGCTATAAGAATTTAACTGCAATTTTAAGTTTAAAAATTGGCTCTTTTTTTTCCCTTCCTTTTCTTGGGGTGAGGGAGGAGGGAGGAGGTTAACGGCCACTTTTAGTGGTCAATCCCATTGAAACTATAATTCGTTTACTAATATCTTACCATGAGAGCCATTTTCTTAAGCTTGTTCATGGCAGAAAACTGTGTTAAGCGACTCAATACTGCAGAATCAAGAGGCTTATCTGGAGCCACACCATCAATCTTCACCCAGGGATGGCCTGCAAAGGGAAAAGAAGAATAATATGCCCCTGAATCTCGAAAGTTTAGTGACAAAGCAATCCTCCTATGTCGGTAACCCCTTGATGGAGAAGTATCACATGTTGGAAATTAAAAGGCAAATATGGACAAGTATAGACAATCTAACTTGAGAAGAAGTAGAACCAAAACTATCTCCATAGAAAGACTTCCCTTTTCTCTGAATTGACTTAATAAGACTATTATTTCCCTACACGTGCTCTATCAAGATCAACTTGCAGAAGATGAGCAGAACAAAATTCCCAATTCTACACCAGACGCAGATACATTTTTCTGATTGTGATATTCTTTTAGGAAAATATGTTTGAAATTCTAGGTGAACCGAAAAATACAAAGTACCTAAGGACTCACATAGAACAACAAAACACCAAAAAGACATTACGATTTCACCACATTCTCTCAGCTCCTAAGCAAAATGGTTCTCACAGCATCTCTAAGCATAAGATATGAAAGGCCATTTTAAATATGAAGTTGAAATCAACGACTACTCACATAGAACTTCATGTGCGGTAAGTCGCTCTCTGGGGTCCCTAACAAGCATTCTCCTTACCAGATCTTTTGCATCTTCAGAAATGTTAGGCCAAGGATCTGATACGAAGTCAATATCGGCACGTAAAACCTCGTCGAATATTTCCTGCTCACTTTCTATGCAAATGATGAATGAAGTAAACATGAGAAGCTGTTTTTGGTACTTCACATAACCAGGAAACTATGGAAAAAACTACAAAAACTGTAATCCATAAAACTTGAAAAGATCAACTTACCACCCCAAAATGGAGGTACACCAGTGAGAAGAATGTAAATTATTACACCTGCACTCCAGATATCAGCCTCCTGACCATATCGCTTAAGCAGAACTTCTGGAGCAACATAATAAGGGCTTCCAACAATATCAGAGAATATTTGCCCTGTGTTAAGAACATAACCCAATCAACTAGGTAATTTAAAAGCAAAAGCACATCAACAAAGAAGACAGGTGCATGCTAGAAAGCACATGTTATTAAGAGTATATAGAATAACTGATGCTAAGGATATTTTCCATATAAGATGATGAACATCATATTATGGACATGATAACCCTTCTAATTAATACAACTCTTACGAAATATTAAGGACAATAATGACCCTTCAAATTAATAGAACTTCTACGAAATCAGAAGCGGCATCGCTTTTCCGACCTAAGAGTAATAAAACAGAATGGGTTCTCAATATAAACTATCGGATATAGATACGCAATGCTATTGACTTCACAAACAAATAAGTTTGGAGCTTTCAAGGCTTTGGACAAGGAAAGACTTCCATCTATCCATATCAAGGGGACAACTTTTACTTTTTTTTAAAAAAAGTAATGCCTAAATGTTTTGGACCAAAAAATTAAAAATAGGAGCTGGTTTCTAGAATTCCTATCAAGTAATTACTACTACAAAGGCACCTGCAGATGGCCTGTTGAAATTGAATACTTGCTAAAAACAAATCAAATTCTTTCAAATCCTAGATTCCCAACAATAATTCTACCAGATCCTCATATAATGTTCAAAGATTCCCAAAATATTGCTCTCATTTTGCACCTCATTTTTTGGTAACCGAGAAATCCCTGAGGGTCAGTGGCGCACGGTTCGAAACTCAGTGGGAATGGAGCCATCCCTCTACCCTTCTCCACTTAAATACCAGACTTCGGTTTGTAGCAGAGTTCGAACCCGTGATGCTGCTTAAAGTAACATATCTAATCATGTTTTCTTTGCATGTGTCAAAGTACTTGTAGGTGAAGCTGTTTTAACTATATCTAGGAGTTTTAACTCCTGCTTTGAAGTATATACACAACTACATTGTTTGGAAAGAATTTTTCGCCCTTATGCTTACACTATTTACCTTAACATATCCAATATGTTTCAGTCAAAACTAGAGTCCAAAAGCTGAAAAGTGTTTTCATTGGCTAACGGCTATGCCCCAATAAACAAGGGTACAATTGTTTCACTCCTTCCGCAGAAAAGATTCATGCATCTTAATAAGCGGATTAGAGTAAATAAGCTCTAGTTTTGTCAAATACCTTGTATTTGTTTTCTCTTTAGTATCTAGCAAATGTTCTGTGGATTCCTCAAGGATAACCTCTTGCTTTTTAATGAACCCATCGACACTATATTTGAGAAAATTAAGTTTGGTGTTGTAAAAAGACCCTGCTCTCGATTCAATTACTCATAAAAATTGAGCAAAGGTTGTCAATTGATAACTACAGAAGCATATTGCTTATCAAGTAGGCAAATAGAAATACCAACTACTTAACCCTATTACTTCGATAATACCAAAGTTTCTACTTCTTCATTTGATACGATAAAACCCGCCCTCCTGAACTTTCCTACCTAGGATCCCAACAGTGTCTTCAACCCACTTTGCTCCCTTTGCCCAACCTCATGGTTGAAGGTGGAGGGTCCTTACCAATAGGCTATCCCTCCCTTGTCGGGTACCACAGAAAACAATTTTTTCCTTATGCGTACAAACCACTAAAAATAATTCAAAGAAATAGAGAAAGAGGGGAAGACCAAAATATATAGGAAGTAAATGGAAGAATTTGGAGAAAGTGGAAAAATACCTGGCTTGAAAAATGTTGATAGCCCGAAATCTATAATCTTTAGAGGTGAATCCTCTTCCTCGTTGACAAAGAGAAAATTCTCAGGCTTAAGGTCCAAGTGCAACACTCCTAGAGAATGGCAGGCTTCTATTACACTAACTATTGTCCTTGCAAGCTCAGCCGCTTTTCTCTCCGAGTAATGTCCCTGCTTAACAATTCTATCGAAGAGCTCACCCCCTGTACATAGTTCCATCACAACATGAACTGCAGCAGCATCCTCATACGCTGCTTTTATTGAAATGACATTAGGATGTCCAGATAAGTGATGCAATATCTGAATTTCTCTCCTTACATCTTCCACATCTTCAGGTGTCAATAATTTCCTCTTCGCAATAGACTTACAAGCATACTTTTCCCCTGTTGCTTTTTCAACACAGAGGAATGTGGTCCCGAATTGTCCATGTCCAAGTTTCTCCCCCAAATCATAATGCTCTTTCAGAAGACCGGTTTTTGTTTTCAACACCGACTCAACCTGGAGTCCTGCACTAAGCATTCTCTTGACGTGATGTGGCTTCTTCGGTTTTGCCGGCTTTTTTGGTTTTGCCTTTTCATGGACTGTGTTGCCAAAATTTTCAGGTCCCGTTGCTTTTGTAGGTTTCGAATGATCTGATATCTTCTCAGGCTTAACTACCTGAGAGTCTGTCTTCTGTTCCTTCACTATAATAGCCTGCTTGGACTCTTTAGCATCTGATAGCTTACTCTCTTCTCTGTCTATCTTCACCAATTCTGGGGGTTTATTCTGAAAAGAATTAGGATGTTCGGGCTGTTTGTCTGTAGAAGGTTCTTCAATAGCCTTTTCTTTTTTCTTATTTGTGATCATATTCGGTGATCGAGACCGCCAAAAGAATAAGTTGAAGAACCCACCCTTTGAAAACTTTGCATGAACACAGTTATTTCCCATCTATCACTATGCTCCTCTCCACCAATATCTGTTACTATTATACACATCTGAATTCAAATATCAAGCCAAAATTTAACCCCTCAAAATGGATTGAAATTTGAAGCATTTGAAGCAGTAAACTATGCTGAAACCCTCTTCCAAAGCATGACCTTTTCGACTGCAGATACAGTTGTTATTGTAAAAATCAGCATATTCTTCAAACTAATCTAGAGACAAAACCTTTGACCAGTAAATTTCCAACTCATACAAGTAAAATAATCCAATTTACACCTCTAAACAATTTCTAAAAGAAAGAAAAAGAAAAAAGGACCCCGTTTAAATAGACAAGAATCTCCAACAGTTTTACCGCTTCCCACATAATCAAAAATCAGCAGAGACAGTTAAGCAAAAATCATATAAAAACAACAACTACTACGCCTCAATCCCAAACTAGTTACACAAAAACTCGTACTCCTTCCATTTCAGTTTATGTGAACCTTTTCGGAGTACGATGGTCAACCTGACTAATTTCTGGTATGAATTCGAACATAGAATAAAATGTACAAATTTAGAAACTACATAAAAGTACACAATATTTAACGATTCAAAATATTTAAAAAGAATGAGCAAAATGTGGTAAAAGAAAACCTTGTTTGACTCCCCAAATAGTAATAGGCTCACATAAATAGAAATCGAGTAAATGAAAAGCACTCAAGGCTGTCGTCTAGTGGTCAAAGGAGAAACATAAGGTTCAAGTTCAAATCCCATTAGAGGCAAAATACACCTCTGCCTAGCCTTGGTAGACAGAGTTACCGGTACCTGTGCTGGTGAGAGGTAACAGGTCATATTTGCGCGCAAGCTGGCCCGGCCGAAACAACATTCCAAGAAAAGAAAAAAATCGTGATTGAAAAGATAATAGAAAACTAGAACAACATTAGGAAATAGAGAACTTACAAGGAAAATTCAAAGTTTGGAGACCCTCAACTTTGGGTTTCCAGAAGAAATTAAGTGACTATGTTGAGGAATTGAATATGAAATTCTCACACCCACATGAGTAAATAAGGAGAAAAAATCAGCATAAGCAATTGAGAAATGAAAGGAGAAAGGGGCCGTCCAAGAATTGTAATAATAATTGTACGTGAAAACGAAAGAGATTATTAACTTATCAGCTAAGTTTGTGTTTCAATTTCAATGTGTGTATGTAAATGTTAACCTAGATTTTCTTTGGGAATGAAGCTTTTTGGATTAGGGTTTTGGATTTGAATTGTCTCTCTATTTTTGTTGAAATTTAGGAGAGAAAAGCCGAGGGACAGGGGAAGGCGAGAAGCGACAGGTTTTTCAGTTATAATGTTTGAAGGGAAACTATTCCGATTACAGAAATTGCCCCTCAACTTCTGTGTAATTACAAAAGATTCCTCTCTTTCTTCTAATTTATGGAATTTCGTATATTAAACAATAACAAATCAAATAAATGTTAATAATGACTTAATTAGCCAAAAGAAGGATAAGGAAAAGGAAAGGATATCAATAACAAGAAGTAAGGAAGTGTAACTTCACATTATTAACTTCCTTGATAAGTAAGATTAGGTTTAATAATTTATAGGTAGCAATACTAGCTCATGATCTTGTTATATGTCTAGACTGTCTAAGATGCAACATTTTGGATGAGTGACCAAAAACTAAATGAGTCAAAAAATGGAATAGATGGGTTAAAAAGTGGGTTGTGTTGAGTCATTACAAGATAAAATAATTAAGTAAAGACGATAAAGTTCGCTCATCTTCTATAGGTTAAGGAAAGTAAAAATGTTGAAACTATTGAAGTAAAAATGTAGAACATAGGGAATATGAGTACTTTTTGTTCTATAGGTTATTATGCTAATAAAGCTTTTAGCCTTTAGTTCCACCAAATCCTATTTATCGTACTGACTCTAAGAAATTTTACCTTTCCTTTTGGCGTAAGTCAACAAAGAAAACAAACATTCAGGTAATGAAAATTGAGAAAGGCTTACCCTAAGAATGAGAAAAAAATTCATTTTTTCACTAACTCCCGTTATGTGCATGATCCGAGAAGACATGGCAAAACTATCATATGCAATCTTACTTTGTGATTTTGCAAGAAGCTACTACTTTCAAAGTAGTTTCAAAGCTTGAACCGTAATTTCTTAATCACACATCGAGGGTACTTTTACCGCTAAGGTTAATTGGCTTTATTTGATTTCAAGGTTCATCTCTAGGTAGTTCGTGAAAAATGACATTTCCTTCTTCATGACTTCACAACAGAAAAAGAAAAAAAAAACAAATTAGATTCTTCTCAGGAATCATCATAAAAGGTAATGTGCACCCAAAAAAAAATTCGTTTGAGGTCACTTTAACTACTGGGTTAAACCAAAAGACAACAAGCTAGCCTACAGAAACTTGGGCTGGAACCAGACCAGAAGAAACGCCTAAATAAAGTCAGAAATTAGAACCTTTATGAGTAGTAGTAAAACAAGAGATTCAGAACAGAAAGAAAATAAAGAAAGAAAAGCAAAATCTAAGATGTGCGTAAACATAATAGCAACATATTCACATATCTCTCATTCGTGACTGATATGCCTGGAGACGATCTCCTACTTGATTGCTTCAAACATCTCTAGCCAAGCCAGATAGATCCACCTCTCCATCGGAATTGTTTGGTTTAGGGGAACCTTCTTTAGGAGGATGAGATTCGATGGGTATACCACGTCTCTCACGTGAGGATGATAGGTCATCATCAAAGACACGAGGAATGCTGAATGCACCAAAGAAGCCATTCTTCATCTCCACGGCTGCTTCAAAGAAACGATCAAGGCCACCGAAGAAGCTTCGCTCAATATTCTCAATATCACTGCGCATCCCAGGGAAGTCAAAAGGCACACTTGACTCTATAGAATATGAACCTTTAGTCATCTGGTCCGTGACATCTTCCTCGGTGTATTCTTTATTAGACTCTACCATCTCAGAAGGCCTGATGAAAAGCAAGAAGTTAATCACCAACTCGAACAATCCATTCAAATTCCCCCATGTTACAAGCAAATTATTAGCAAAGCGCCAACCAAAAAAAATAAAAAAAAATAAAAGAGGAGATTCTCATTTAAAGTGGCATATATTTGACTTGATCAACAAGAGGCTATTCAGTAATATGCATTTCCATGACTCTGTTTTTAAAAGGCTAGCAATAGCGCCGCATCTTTTACAAATTAAATACAATATTTGAAAAAATTTAAATATCAGGTCGGAATTGCTTAAATAGATACTCAACGATACGTGCCTTCCATTGTAATTTATATTCGTGTAATTCTATGTGGCCTTAATGTGTGTTAATAAATTAAATAGTATCTACTTCATTAATAACAAACCCTCCATCTTCTTCTACACGAAGTATCTTTCACTTGCTAATAGGAATTTGGACTTACAAAGGGTCAAAAATAACATAATTCATGGAATTCATCTCATGACCAATCATATTAGTCATTGCAAATCAACTAGCTGTTATAAATTAGGAAAAGTGAACTGAAGATCAGCTAATTATTCTCCTCCCCTTCTTTAATTTCTTTTTACATACATTATGGTAGCTAGTAAAATAAACTAGACTGTTGAGTTCTTCTGGAAGCATCATAATGTTGTATAGTGGCTGCGGAAGTTATCTGAAAGCGAAATCCATCTAGCGGATCACCTCAACAGAATTCCAACTCTTTATTTTTACCCCTTAGCCTTGTGTTATGAAACAGAAGTATTCAAGTAGAAATGTCCTTTATTAAGAAAGCCATTTCCACTAAGTACAAGAATCCTCTTTCCTTTTTTTTGGGTCACTTAAGGGTTCTCTATTCCAATAACTACCAGAATCCTTCTTCCTTTTTTTCCAATTATTTTTGGGTCACCTAGGGTTCTCCATTTGGACAAAAAAATCAACATATAAACTCTCATTCTTTAGTGTTCTCTTTGGATTTTCTTCATAAGGAGAGGTAAAAGGTAATGAAGGAGAAGGACGGAGAAAGTATTTAAAGATAGGTTCCATGTACACCTCATAAGCGGTTAATTATCCTGGATTAATGTGTGCCTTTAATGCCAATGCAAACTAGAAGACACCAACCTATAACGGTGCCAATAAAACAAGAAACTGGACATACTAAGTATTTCTCATTTACGATAATCACGAGATTCCTCGATGAAGTTTCAGAAAAGTTCTAATGCCCAGTTTATCTCAGGCTCAGATTCTGTCGTACTTATTTTGTAAGAGCTAACTGTTCCTTTACAATCCTGGAATTAGCCCCTTTCACTAGAGTGAAAAAACAATGGTCTAGCAAAAACATGTTGCAATCTCTAATCAATTCAGAAATAAGGGTGTACAAAGCTGTACACTTAAAAATGCAGAATTCAATGAGCTAGTTCAAATCTCCAAGTGAAGGTTATGTGTGACTAAATCTTGTGTTGGCATGTTTCACCTAATAAAATTCCAACCTTGAAGGAAGAGTCAATTCATCTCTCGGCTCCTATTACTTAACCTGTTGAGCATAAAGAGAACTAGATTCCCTAAGAAGAATAGTACTCTATCCAACTAGGTTACAGCTGGATTAAGACCATTTTGTTTTATCTAACAAATTACCGCTAATAAATTTTTTGTTGTTGACAAGTTGCTGATCTAAATTATGAGTTACAATATTCCAGCCTAGAGATATAGCCTGAATACTATTCACGGTTGCCTAAACCAGTTCTAATCTTCTATTAAGTTAAATGACATAAAAAAAAATTTGATAATCGAGAAATCTCAGAGGATTAGTGGTGGATTATTGGCGCACAGTTCGAAACTTGGTGAATTATGACCCGACCCTCTACCCTTGTTCACTTAAATACCGATTCGAACTCCTAACCTAAACCTGAACCACACACCACTAGTTGAGTTCTTACCACTAGACCAAAGCCCAGGCGATTAAACGATATAAAATCTCATTATAATGAAAAAGATTAAGGCTTTCAGCCTGGGTAGCTTACTGATGACATCCTAAAACAGAAAAGACACCTTTTCCACACATTTGATGATTAATAGATAAAAATTATGCTCAATAAGTTTATCAAAAATACAAACGAAACACTATATCATCTTATACAAATGACATCGAATCATGAGAGAGCAATTAAAAACTCAACGACACTATTTATTCAACAAATTATAGTTTAACGCAAACTAATCACGAAATAAATCAAAGCTTTAAGTCTAATTTTTACCTTCCAACGCAGTCCTTGAAAATCTGTTCAGTTTTTTCGCACTTACGGATGAACTTTCCAGGCTCGGTCTCCTCAGTTCGGCATCGAGTGTTCACAACCTTCCTGGTGGCGCACCGTTCACCGCCGTTTCCGTCGCTGCCGGAGGATGATTTAGGGTTTTCAAAATCCTTGAAGACGCTGAAATCATCAGCGCCGGAATGCTTGGAATCGTCGTCGGTCCAAACCCAACCCATTGTTACTTCGATTTGCTTGGCCAATAATCCAAAGATGTTTCTCGAAGAAGGTGAAAGAAATGTGAATTGAGTTATTTATAGTTTGCTCAAAGAAAGAAGCTTAACCAAAAAGTTAAAAAGGGGTGCAAAAAAGGATATAACTAAATATAAATAAGTAAATAAATAAATAAAAGTAGGGAAAAGTGCAAATAAAAGAGAGTTTACATTCCATATTTGGGATACTCCCTCCGTTTCATATTATATGAAGTAGTTTGACTCAGCATCGAGTTTAAGAAAAAAGAACAAGACTTTTAAAATTTGTGGTCTTAAAAATTTAAGGGGTAAAAAGTTTGTGCGGCCATGACATTTGTGTGGCTATAAAAGCTTCTCATTAAGGGTAAATGAGTAAAATAAAAGAGTTTAAACTTGAATTATTTCCAAATTTAGAAATGTGTCATTTGTTTTGGAACAAACTAAAAAAAAAGTACCTTATTTAATATGAAACAGAGGGAGTATAAATTACTTTAGTACGTCGGTTTAAAGTATACACACCGATTTGTGCAAATTTCTTTTGCACAATTATTAAAATTTAGCGTGTAATAAAGTAATAACGGAGTAGTTATTATTAATAATGACTTTATTGGGTAAATATTTTTTGCATTGTCAGTAGATATAATTTAACTTTATATTGGTAATTACATCCCATAAGTTGGATAAAATTATAGTCTCTCAATTCTAATTTATGTGAAGGTATATGTATTTCTAGAGTCAAACGAATTACTTTTTAACCGTAATCTTTTATATGTCTTTTAAATATTTTAAGTTATTAATTATTATGATTTACAGTACGCTTTTTACGTAGTTTCTCAATATGTAAATTTTACTCGAAAAACTTAAAGATTCTATGTACAAATATACAATCAAAATTTAGTGAAAAAAATTATCCAATTAACTCACTCAATTTTACGTCTATCAAATATTAAAAATTATTAAAATTTAAAATATTTTATTAGTAATTATATAAATATATATTATAAATATATATATTATATAATAATATAGTAGTGCTTCTTATTTGGGGCCTCAGGCAAGGGTTTCACTTGCCTTGCCCTTTGATCCAAATCCTAATAGAAGTAGGAGAAGCCAAAATCCTCTATAAAATAAGCCACTACTATTATATACTAATCCTAATAGAAGTAGGAGAAGCCAAAATCCTCAATAAAATAAGCCACTACTCTTATACATTCTGAGCTTAGTTTTAAGTTTGAAATCTATTCTTTTTTCTTCTTCTTCCAACTCGTCAAAACTATACATATCTCAACCCTTCTTTTTCTTGACAAAATTTTCACAACATGATCACCATGCCTATCAAGCAAGAAATCGTCGACCCAACATACGTTTATCAGAACACTACTACTATCGTCCAAACAAACACAATTGATCATATGATTCCTATAAACGATGGTCTTGGTTCTTATTTTGATAATATAGAAGGAGCAAGTCCTTTCAAGAAGATGAAAGTTGGCAATAGTAGTGGTATTGTTGCACCTATATCGATTCGTTCAAAGGTTGATAATCATTCTTTACCTGTTTCAACTAATGAATTGGTTGCTTTTCCTGTTAATATTCCAAGTTTTAAACAATTTTGGAAAGCTGGAGATTATGATGGAACGAATGGAGGTTTTTTCGCGGCTGGTCATGATCATACAGTTGGCATGGATCATGTGAGAGTTCACCCGAAATTCTTGCATTCAAATGCCACAAGTCATAAATGGGCTTTAGGAGCTTTTGCTGAGCTTTTAGATAATGCTATGGACGAGGTTTGCAACGGCGCTACCTACGTTAGCGTAGACGTGCTGGACAACATGAAACAGAAGGGAAAAATGTTGGTGGTTGAAGATAATGGTGGTGGAATGACTCCAGATAGAATGCGCCAATGCATGTCTCTTGGATATTCAGTGAAAAGCAGATTAGCAAATACTATTGGACAATATGGAAATGGTTTTAAGACTAGTAGTATGAGATTAGGCGCGGATGTGATTGTATTTTCAAGAGGAAGAGATAGAACAAGCAACACAATAACACAAATTGTTGGAATGTTGTCGTATACGTTTTTAAGGAGCACAGGGAAAGAAGATATTGTTGTTCCTATGATTGATTTTGTGAAGAGGGAGGAAACTTGGGAAATGTTGATTCGATCTTCAGCTGATGATTGGAGAAGAAATTCAGACACCATAGTACAATGGTCTCCTTATGAAAGCGAACAGGATCTCTTCCAACAGTTTGAATTTTTGGAAGATCAAGGTACACGAATTGTTATATACAATCTTTGGGAGGATGAAGAAGGATGTACAGAACTTGACTTTGACGCTGATCCACATGACATTCAAATACGGGGTGTTAGTCGAGATGAAAAGAAGATTCAGATGGCAACAGAATATCCTAACTCCAGCCATTTTCTAACTTATCAGCATTCTTTAAGGAGTTATGCTTCAATTTTGTACCTGAGGCTTGCTCCTGGATTTCGAATAATTTTAAGGGGGAAAGATGTTGAACATCATAATTTGGTAAATGACATGATGTTATCTGAGGAGATAACGTACAGACCACAGTGCATTGGTTATGAAACATTAAAGGATCCAAATGTTGCAGCTGTAGTAACAATTGGTTTTGTGAAAGATGCAAAACATCATATTGATGTTCAAGGTTTCAATGTTTATCACAAGAATAGGCTAATTAAGCCTTTCTGGAGAGTGTGGAATGCTGCAGGGAGTGATGGTCGTGGCGTGATAGGCGTCTTGGAAGCTAATTTTGTGGAGCCGGCTCATGATAAACAGGGCTTTGAGCGCACCATTGTACTTGCTAGACTCGAGGCACGTCTACAAGCAATGCAGAAGAAGTATTGGTCCTCAAATTGCCATTTCATTGGTTATGCTAAGCGTCGCAATGTAAAGAACATTACTGTCTCTCCTCCTGAGGAAGAATCAAACGCTTCTGCTAAAAGAAAATCATGTTCCCAGTTTAGCTCCAGTGGCCACACAACATGTCATAATAAATCTACATTGAAATCTACTGGAGAAGAATGTGAGAATGTGGCACCAGTTCATCCTCCAATACGAGCAAACAATCAAGCTGTTTCTGTAGAAGAAACTCAGCAAGTGTGTGTACCAAATGCTTCTGCTAAAAGCAAATCTTGTTCACAGTTTAGCTCCAATGGCCACACAACTTGTCTTGATAAATATACATTGCAATCTACTGGAGGAGAACGCGAGAATGTAGGACCAGTTCATTCTTCAGTACAAGCAAGAAACCAGACAATGTCTGGAGATCAAACTCAGCAAGTGTGTGGATCAAATAGGCAAACAGTTCAAACTCAGCAAGTGTGTGAATCAAATAGGCAAACAGTTCAAACTACAGGAAAATCAGTAGTGAAGATGGAAGAATTTGTGTCCAACTTGAGAGAAGAGAATCATAGTACTAAGATCAGTTTACAGCAGATTTTGCGCGATTTGCAGTATGAAAGAGTGAGGAGTAAGACTCTAGTTCGGATGCTTTTAGAAGAAAGAAGACGGCGGGATAAGGAAGAAGAGAGTTTAAGGAGCAGATTAAAGGATGCTTCTGTTACCATAGAACAGCTTCTCAACAAAGTGAGATTGCTAGAAAGTAGGACAATCTATAGTTGCAAAAAAGAATGGTGAGATACGAACAATTGTTGAGAAGTAACAGCAGCTAAAGAACACGCTTCAAAGATCTGGATTCTGACTAATAGCAAGTCCATTCAATACTAAGATGTATATTAGCTTTTCTTTTCCAATTTTCCTATTAATGTAATTGCTTGTGTTGCAGACAGTTTTGCTGTATTGTTCTCAGTTTAGGTGTATTGGGAAAAAATTGAGTTTACATATTTAAGTTATTGGAAGATGACGTGCCATGACACGTAGACTGGTCAAAAAGTTAAGATTGGCAAAGAGGCACGAGTTGCAACAGATACGAGCAGAGGCATAAGAGGAAGCACGAGCAGATACTCAAAAGATTCAACGCTCGTACCTATTTAAGTCCAAAAATCAAAGGGAATTAATCTAACAGTTCACGGGAGTACAAATACAATATTTAATGAGTCTTAAATACTAAAAACATTAGAGAATTTGTATTAAATATAATGATTATGTAACGTAACATTTAATGTCTTTAATTGCCTATAATGGCCTTATTATGACAAATGCAAAACGCATATCTCCAAAGTAGCTATAAAAGGGAGAGAATGGATCAATTGTAAGGACACAAAATATTATCTGAATATACCGATTTACTTGTTTTCCTTCTGATTATATTGCTAGCCAAATTACTTTCTTTCATATATACTTTTGATTATCAGTAACCCGAGTTTTTCTAAATTAAAGCTTTGACCGAAATCTCATTTTTTTGGTTAAACAAATTGGTTTCGTAATTCCAGTTGAGATAGGAGAGCCGAGTACACGATTGACACAGGCGACAGAAGAATCTAATGACGAGGAAATGCATGTAAATCTTGATTTACTTGAAGGAAGAAGAGAAGTTGCACTAATAAGAATGGCAGCATAGAAGCAGGTCATAGAACGATACTACAACCGAAAAGCACGCCTCAGATTCTTCAAAATTGGGGACTTCGTGCTCAAAAAGGTTTTTCAATCTACGAAGGCAGCTAACTCGGGGAAATTAAGTCCAACATGGGAAGGACCCTATAGAATTCATGATATTGCAGGTAAAGGAGCATACGAGCTGGAAAAAATGGATGGCAAGATACTTCCGTCACATTGGAATGTTGTTCATCTAAAGAGATATTATTTCTGAAGAATACCCACGGTCAGATATCCATATTTTGAAATTTAATTTTTGAATTGTTAAAATTTTACTAACGATTTTAGATGATAGGCAAAACGCTAACTCGTACTAAATGATGAGTCACGACCTGCAAGGCACGTGGAATAAATTAAACTTCCTGGCCTAGGGTTACAATTATTCTGATAGAAATTCAAGTGGGTTAAGCAGTCTTCATCTATAATCGTACCTTCGAGTCCCGTATGTTTTTCCTTTACAGGGAAAGGACCAAATGAGAGGAACAATGAAGTGCTCGAGGCTTCATACTTCAACGCTCAAACACTTGGGGGACTACATAATATACACGGGCATGTGTATAAGGAAGGCAAAGAAGATCAAGCCCTGAAAAGTTCACTCATTGATTGAAGTACAGAGCAAAGTCACGGGCTAAGGCCAAAGAAAAACCTTACCATAGTTAGGGTAAAGGCTATGTACTGAAACGGGTTATAGATAAAAACCCTGTATTTATTTTTCTTTTATAAATTTGTTACAAGAAAAATAGTTACGAGAAAGTTATAGATATAATTCAAATACGTGTAAAGTGTTATTCAAAACTAGACAAAGTTCAAATAAAAACTTGTCAAAGTTATTTCAAAGAAACATGTGTATTCCTATTTTTTTTATTGTATGTTAACACCATTATGAAATTGACACGTCTTCTTCATTGAGTGTCGAATATAAAAGGGCCCTCTTTTATAAATTCATGATTAATGTAAATATTCATGAAGTTAATAGAAACATTTTTAAAGAATAAAAATGCAAATTATTCTATAAGTCCTTAGAAATAAAGGCAAGAATAAAACGGAAGTTCAAGATAGTAACGAGAAAACTTCTTAATATTAAAAAACTTAAGACTAAGTACGAACATAGTCATAAACTGCAAATTGTTTATACAAATTTCCCCATGAAAGGTCCGGGGACTTTGAATTTCCAAAACAAACCCTTAAATGAGGCCACGGGTTTTACCACAATGTTTCCAAAAAGAAAAAAAAAACACAAAGAAATTCAAATGACTTAAACTTATCACTAAGAAGATGTAGGAACTGAAGTAGGTGCATCAACAACAGCGGGCTCAACTGGGCTTGAAGGAGTTAGGATACCCGTATCAACTTCAACATTCACGGAAGCTTCGGCCACGGGAGAAGGAAAATCTTGAGTTTGTTGAGCCTTCTCAATAGTTTCATTGATTTTAGCTAACTCAGATTCCAAGTTAAAAGTCTCTTGGCTAGCTTCAACTAGGGTATCACGGCAAGAATTCAAAAATGCCCAACTCAATTCAATGGCAGATTTATCCTCAAGGATTTCATAATCCCTTTCCCAGCTAGCAATTTCATTCTTTAATTTCTCATTTTCAGCCAAGGGAGAAGTGTAAGAAGCTTGAAGAGAGGCATGGGAACTTTCCAAGGCACAAACCTTATCAGAAGAAGCTCGGAGGTCTTCTTGTGCTAGAGTCAAATTCTGCACGAGCTCTCCAGCATAAGCCTCTTTCTCACAGCTGCTCGGAGAAAGAGGTTTCAAGACGAGCCTTTTCTTTATCCGCTTGACTTGAGGAAGCCTTTTCAACTGCCAACTTTGAAGTCAAGTCCCGTACCTGTTGCTCCAAGGTACTCTTACTTTCTTCTAAGTACTCCACATCAATCTGAAGGCTTTTATATTGTTCCTTCCAATTGCACACCTCTAATTGAGAATCACGCACTAATTGCTCTGAGAGGGCAACCCTTTTTATCATCTCTGTGTCGATAAGAATGGCCTATAAAAAAAGAAAAAGGAAGGGAAATGAGAATCTCAAAGATAGGAAACTTTTAAAGCACAGCAAAGGAAAAAGGAGAAGGGGAATACCTTTAAAAAAGCATGCACAATATCATTCATCTAAGTCAAGGAGCTATGGCTCTCTAGCTTGGCTCTTTCAATTGGTCCGATTAAGGGCTTTAGCCATACATCTGCTTGACCCGATTTCCTTAAGAGATTGCCCTCAGCAGGGACTTCAATGATCACTTGCCTCATAGCACCACTCCTACTTGAGGAGCCAACTTCAGCACGGTGAATGATTAAGGGAGGAATTATTGAAGGAGGAACAGTGGAAGCAGAGACGGTGGAAGTAGTAAAGACAGTCTGGGGAGGAACGGAAACAGCCGAGATCGGCAAAGAAGGAGTCATAGATACAAGTGTAGAAAAAGAAGCCAGAGGTGCTTCATCCAAAACTAGGCCTAAGCCTTCACCACCAAACTCGCTGATAAAAAGTTGCTCAACAGAGTCATGAGCAGCAGCGGGAGCAACATCATCGTCAAGAATCACTATCGGGGCTTCAATAGACTCGGTAAGGGGAATGGAATGGTGGGGGGATGCTTCTTCTTCATCATCATAAATGATGCGTCTTCGAGCCCGTGGCCTTGTTATCAAAGAGCCCCCGTCTTCCTCTTCTTAGAGCCTTGGTCATTAACGGTTTTTCTTTTCGATGAAGAACCCAAGATTATTTCTTGGGTCCAAAGAAATACGAGAAGTCGTGACCGCCTCGGCAGTAACTCCTCGAATAGCAAATCCTGATAGAAAGAAGGATTGAAATTAGTTCAGAGAAATAAAAAATATATGTAAGATAAAAGCTCTTACCATGAGTTTTTACTTTCCAACCAAATCGTTGGGAAATGGTCTTCCAAGATCTACCAAACATTGACGCAATCTTTAATAGCTTGTCTACCCAATCACGGAAATTGGAAACATCATCTACAACTCCCATGGTTGCTGAAAAAGAAAGGCAAAATTAGAATAATCAACAAAATTGAAGAAAAAGGTACGAGAAAGTTAGAAGACTCACGTGCAAAATTCCACTTCTCTGGGAAGGGAACGTTCTCATCACCCACTAAACCAACAGTGGGGGCTGCAACAAACCTGGTATACTAGCCACGGTCTTTGTCATCTTCAGGGCTAACTAGAACTCTTTTGCTCCTGGCTACTAGTGTAAAAACACCATTGCGAAAGAGTCTAGGGGAGTAAAGGTGAATCAGATGCGGGAAAGTAAAAGGCACACTGGCTGTGTTGGTCAAATGCCTCAAACAGGCGACAACCCTCCATATTATTGGTCCAATTTGACCAAAGCAAACATCAAAGAAACGGCAGAACTCGAGAATAACAGGATCAATAGCAGGTTTGAATCCTAAATTGAAAGGGTATGTATAGACAAATGAAAATCCGGTTAAGTAGGAGGTAATTCTTTGATTCGGATTGGGAATAATGATAGGAAAGTCATGATCCCAATGGCAGTCTCTACGAACTAAAGAAATCAAACCTTCAGTAATTTGAGTGGGATAGATATCAGCACGGTCTAAAGAAGATACTTGATTTCTAAGAGATTCTCTGTCATTGAAAAAAGATAATCCCGCAGGAACTATTTCTTCTACTAAAGGTTCACGAAGAGGTTCAGAAGGTTCTTTACCCCTAGAAGAAGATCTTTGTGAAAGAGAACCCCTAGTTCTAGAAAAGGGGCCAGAACTAGGCGAAGGAAGAGAAGATCCACGCAAGGATGAAGATCCCAAATTACGAAACTTACCTCCTCTTCTGCTCCTACTGGAGACATCATGGAAGTTATCAACTATGGGGACCCTTCTAGGGTTAGGGTTTGATGAAGACATGACAGTACGAGGAAGAAACGAACAAAGATTCAAGAATTGAATATTTTGAAAACTTTATGTGATAAAGACAAAGAAAATTATTATATTTATACTACGAAGCAACTGTCAAAGTAAAAGGAGCACTGATGGAAAAGTCATAATGAGAACTGATGCTTCGTGATTAGTGAAGCTGTGAAAAAGCCCTAAAAAGCGCTGCAACATCGCATATCCAGTAGAAGGGTGCCACATGTGAAGAGCATTAAATGGAAGTAACAAATGAGGTGTTGATTTTATTATAGCATTAATGGTGACAAAAATTTCCGTTTTAATGAATTCCACTTCCCAAATATTCAATTGATGAATAAATGGCAAGTGGG